TAAGCAAGGGCTTCAAAAGTTTGATGGAATTTAAAAAGTGGATCTTTTTCCAGGAATTTTTTGAAATCCCCTCCTGTAGCATGGCAGCATTACCCAGCCATGAGGGAGATGGGGAGTCTGGGTAGCTGCTGTGGCATGAATAAACCATTAAACGAGGGAAGACGCCAGACACCAAATGCCAGGTGTTGGGTGATCCCGCTTGTATGAACGACCTAAAATGAGCAAGTCCATGGAGGTCCGCATTTACTAGTGGACACAGCAGGTGTGGAGGAGCTCTGCTGGCATAGTGGTGACATGCTGGGCTGCTAAGTGCAAGGTCAGCAGTTTGAAGCCACCAGCCGGCACCTCAGGGGAAAGACAGGACTTTCTACTCTTGCAAAGAGTCACAGCCTTAGAAACTCACAGGGGCAGGTCTACCCTGTCCTGCACGGTTGTTATGAGTCAGCATCAACTCGATGGCCGTGGATTTGGTTTGGGGCTTTTGCTTAAGAGACACCACCCTGAATTTCTATTTTAAACGCTCAATCCAAACTCACCCAGGCTCTACTTAGGATGATGAGAAACATGGGGGTGGGGGTACTGACGGTTGCCCAGCGTGGTGCTCATAACTACAGGCACTGGATCTGACCGTCAGTGTGACATTGACTGAAAGGAAAATAGCAGTAACAGAGAAGCGGGGGCTGGGAGGTGGGAAGAAGGTGAGCAGAGCTCCAGATGACAGGTTAAACCTTCCAATTGACAAACATTTCAACACGGTGTGCCTGGCTCCCAAGGGCGGGTGGGGGGTGGGGGGGACAAGGGGGCAGGAAGAGGGCCCAGGCCGGCGGGACCCCGCGGCCACTGCCTCAGCGTGGGCGGTCCCTGCGCCCGCCCGCCGGACACTAGCGCGCCAGCGACTGGAGTCGTGACTGGTCCTCGGGAAAGTTTGCCCAGGGCTGGCTGGAAGGGAACCACCGGGGGAGGTTCGCCGCTGCTCTTGGGGCCAGGGCCTGCCTTCGATGGCCCACGCACCCTGATCTGGCTCCCCAGAGAGGGGGGCTTGTCGACGCTTGAAGGCCTCTCTGCAGTGTATGTCCGCGGCTCCCAGCGTCCGAGAGTCAGTCTCCTGGCCCGCTTTGGCCTGAGCACGCGCCCCTGCGGGACTCTTGGGCCGAATGGCCCGCCCACCTCTCTCTAGCCAGAACCCCCTGAAGCCTCCACCAAGCCGGGCTCCATGACCTCCCCGCAGCTCCGTCAAGGCCGTAGTAGCCACGCTTAGTACTTGCTTTCTAGGGTTAAACAGGGGTCAAAAGTCTCTCTGAGCCTCCGTTTCTCCAGTTCTAAAATCGGGGTCATTTCTCAAAAGCTATTGCCAACACTAAATAGAATAGCTCCTGGAAATTGCTTGCAAAAATGGTTCAATATTGAGAGTTCAGGAAATGTTAGCTTAGCACGATAATCGAACCAGGCCTGAGGGGCTCACCGTGGCTGGCTCAGAGGGGCTCCGCGGGAACACTGCCCACCCCAGAATCGTGCAGGCCTGGGCCCGCCCCAGCTACCCTTGGAGTGGGCCAGGCCGGTGAGTCTGTCAGCAAAGGCATCTGAGCGGCTGGGGCAGCTCCAGAGGGGCGGGAGGGGGCGGCGCAGCGCCCCGGGCACCCACCACAATCTGCCGCTCTGCAGCTCTGTCCTCCCGCCCAGAGAAACTGCCCAGCCAAGTGCGACCACCCCTACCCCAGGGCTTTGGGCTGGGCTGCGGGCAGCAGGGAATGAACAAAATGCTTTCATTAGCGTCCCTGGTCCAGGCCAGGGCTTCCCTGAGACAGGATCGAAAGTCTGCCCTGCGTTTTCTTGGAGATCTGTCCCTAGTCTCCCACTGACACCACCGCTAGAAAGGCATTTATCCCATTCGGGTGCTTATAGCCTTTGTACCAACAAGAAATCCGTCTTTTCATCTTTGTGGTCCCCTCTTCACACACCCCCAACCCAACCCCACCCCGCGCGGGCTTTTTGCATCGTCAACCTCGCTCTTGGAGCGTAAGAATTTGGAGGGTCTCAAAGACCCCGCGCTTCCAAATCGAACCTGACCCCAACGAATTTTTACTGAAGAGTAGAAAGAATAGGCTTTTCTCTGGCATTGAGTGACCCGAGAACCCGCTCCGTGTTGGAAATCATTTCCATTTTTATTTCTTCAAAGCATTTCATAGGGACCTATGCGAATGGTCCTAATCTGATGCGGGGTTTTCTTTCCATGGTGTGAACAAAGAAACAGAGAAGAACTAGATCTAAATACCAGATCTCAGTTTCTCAGGATTCCCCCCAAGACTGGCTGTCTTGGAGAGGGGATGCGGGCAGACCTGAGAAACCCGAAGCCCGAATTCCCACGAGGGGCTGAGCCTTTGTAAATGCAGCACCCACGGCTACACCGACCATCGCAAAGACGCGGCGCTACGTGCGGACCCTCGATCGCTTTACGAATTGATTTTGTGGAACCGGATCCCTGTAGACTGGGGAGGCAGCAACTGGGATTTAGTGGAAGAGAAAGACGGAGCCCGCAGGGATTTACCACTCAGCCCCTCCCCCCACCTCCACAACCCAATCCTCTCTTTTGGCGGCTGCGTCTAGCCTTAGGCGCAGTGGGACGTGTCCCTCCCATGTTCCCCTTAATTAGGAGGTGGCAAACTTCTGCCTTGCCCTCCCGCCGGCTTTGGTTTAGTAATCAGACCCACATGAGTCACGCCGAACACGCAGCCCCCTCCCGCCAAAGTGACAACAGGCCAGCGCGCTCTCGGCCGTTGTCTCTTTAAAACTCAAATCCAAGGGGGTAATGATTTATCAAACTTGTACTATCAAGAAAATGTCACACGAAGGGCACCTTGCTTTGCACTGACGCAAACCCAGCCTTTCCCAAGGAGATATAGAAAGCGCCTCTCTTAGCCGGAGCCAAATCCAGTCTCGTCAATAGCTGGTTTCACTCTCTACCGGTTCGATCTGTTGCCTAAATCGGACGTGGTGAGTGTTCCTTTTGTTCTTTTAAGAGGAGAGGGGGCTGACGAAGCAGGAAGGGTAGATTCGTTTGGGATGTTTCTTTTTGAAATATTCGGTGTATTTTGGGAGGTGGGGGAGGGGAAAACTAGCTGGAGGAGGTAGATACTTGTACCTGAGAGGCTTAGACCTGAGAGGTGGGCAGTGGCTTCCTGCGGGCGAGATTTCGGGCACTGTCCTTGGTGCTGAAAAGCCCAGTACCTGTATAGAGACAGAGACGTGGCGCTTCGGGTCCCAAAGGCTGCTGAGACAGGAATGCTGGCAGGAGTCAAGGTATTTAGATTTGGTGAAAATCAGTTCTGGTCTGTGCGATTGTGAAAGGGAGGTGGGTAGATGAGAGGTCAGTAGTTGAAAGAGAAGTATTATGATTATTTTTACTGTATAGTCATAATGATGATCCATATTGTATAATAATAATAAGGGTTTTTTTTTTATCGGTGCATAGGAAAGAGAAAAGCGGGAAAGGGGAGGAAACCCCACCTCTGACCGGTCTTCCCCTTTGACTCTCAGTTGGGAGAAAGTAAACGAAAATTAGTTTTGGTCCCAAAGCAAATGTATGGGTGTGGAGGATATTAGATTCTTGTGAATGGTTGTGCCTTAAGAAAAAGATAGAAAGAAAGAAACTTGTCACGTTTATTCATCTTTCTGGGAATCCCCGAGTGAGTGGAAATTCTGTAAGAGAACAAGTCTGTATTTTAAATCTGGTTATTATCCCTATTGTTACTGCTTTTGGTTTTTGTTCTTTAGTGTGTTTGGGTTTTGGTAATTTGGGGTCCTGATCTTTATTCCTGCCATTGCTATCCTGGCGGAAGGGGGTACGTTTGGGAGCCCTGGGATTCACAAAACTAATTTGGCCTCCAGTACTCGCAGGTGCCAGGCCATCAGCGATGTGGCCACAGCTTGTCTATCGCTTATGGGGGGAAAAAGAAGGCAATGTGCATTGTTGAATGACAAAGGAAATGGGGCGGAAAATTAAAGAATCTTTCTACAATGGTGGTGGGGAAGCAGGCACCCGACAGCCGTGATGTGAAATCCAAAGAGAGCGAGGACCATGGCTCCTTGACTATTTCTACCCTCCCCTTCCCCGCCACCCCCAGCCCCAAAGTTGTCTCCTACATAGTTCGTCCTCCATCAGGGCGGAGAATATTAGCTTCTTCGTGCCACCTAGGGATTGAGAGACGGGCGATTTGAGAAACACTGGCTATAGTATTTTGTTGGCGAAAGGGATAAAAAGAAGAAGAAAGAATAGTTCCAACTTGCTCCTCCCAGATATTGCCTCTGGACCTGAGTCATGAACAGCTCCGTATATAAATACAGGTATTTTTCAGACCTGCCGTGACTTTATTTTTTGTGCACGAACTTGACATTGTGTTTGCAGGATTACGGTGCTCCCATGGAAATGAGTAAACCACCAGCCGGCAGCTTGGAGGCGGAGGCGGCACCGGGTCACCTGGATGGCCCCTGCGCGCCCAGGACCAGCCCTGAGCAGGAGCTACCCGCCGCGGCCGCGCCGCCGCCCCGTGTGCCCAGGTCCGCTTCCACCGGCGCCCAAACTTACCAGTCCCCGGACGCGCGAGCCTGCGAGGCCGAGCGGCTGGGAATGGGCGCTTGCAAACTCAGTGGCCCGCGGGCACTGCGGGACTTGAGCCAGGCGCAGGGCGAGCAGGCCACCCCTCCGGCCGGGGGTGCGGGGCCTGGCAACGCGCTACACTGTAAGATCCCGGCTCTGCGTGGCCCGGAGGGAGAGGCCAACGTGAGTGTGGGCAAGGGTACCCTGGAGAGGAACAATACCCCATCCGTGGGCTGGGTGAACATGAGCCGGAGCACCGTGGTGCTGGGCACGGATGGAATCACTTCCGTGCTCCCGGGCAGCGTGGCCAGCGCTGTCTCCCAGGTAAGCCGGCCCACGCTGAGCCCGCGCCGTCTCCGGCACTACAGCCGCGCGCGCGGCGAGCCGGCCCGCGGCGGGTGCACGTGTGCTGATGGGGAGACGGATTGGCAGTGCCAGGTGGTGGGAGGAAGCTTCGGGGCTTTGGAAGCTCGCACTGCGCTGGGGTCGCCAGGTTATGGCTGCGCGAGTACTAGCAGGCTGCAGTGATCCAGCCGGAGGGGTGGAGGCCTTAGGAGCTGCCCCGCTAAGTGCCTCTTCTGACACTGGGGGACAGACACTAGGAATCTGAGTGTTGACAAATTAAGCAATGGAGGCAGATAGATCCTCTATGCAGGCACGACTCTTGCTGTCAGTGATTTGGTCTTTAATTCATTAATTGATTAAAATACAGACGGGGAAGAAAGCCTGGGGATGCGCCAGGGCGCCGGGTGGGGGAACACAGTAGTTTGCAGTCCTGTGTCCCTTGACGTTGAGTTCCCAGTTGGAGGTTGAGAATTCATTTGATGAAAAATCAGCCTGCCCCCAGGTGACTGAAGCTTAACTTTAGGGTCCTGTCATTTGCATAGGTCCTTCAAAACCTTCTACCCAATTTTGTTGTCTTTTTTTCCCCCTTAAAGAGGGTGCCCCTCAATTGTATATGCTTTTCAGGTCCCACACACCCAAGACCATTTCTGTATTTGGTCCTAGTTTCCCTGTCAACCATCTGCATGAGACATTTCCAGAGTTAATCTCAATCCTGGGTTAGGGATGAGGTGGCCCTTCCTGGTACCAGAAACTCCTGGTATTCTTGGTGGCTCCCTCTCTGTAGACCGTTGTCTTTTGTGTCCCTCCCGATGGATGCCCCCCACATCACTGTGCCCCATTTCTGATCTCTTTTCCTCTGTGTTTCACCCACTTCATCCCTAGCCTGCCTTCTGCTAGCTCCCACACCTCAGGCCTCTCCATCAGTCAGGACCTGTGTCAGGACACCTGGGGGTGTGGGAGTCAAGGTTTACCTGGCCTTCTGTCCTCGAATCCCTCTTGTGCACATACTGCGGGGATACACACACATACAGCAGGACTTTGGCTGCTGGAATAATTAGAAAGAAATAAAGCACAAACAGGCATTCCTGGCTGCCCTTGCCGTGTGTGTGTGTGTGTGTGTGTGTGTGTGTGTGTGTGTGTGTGTGTGTCAGTGCCTGGGTCAGTGGTCTGTGTGTAGTAACTGCCTCTGAGATTATGTACCCAACAGTGTCACCAAGGTAGAGGCAGAACAGTTTTGTGTGGTTTTTTTCCCTCCCAAGTCCCTTGCTTAACCTCCGCATTGCGGCAAAAGGAATTGAAACTCCCACCCTTTTCAGCCCTAGACAGATTGGAGGGAGGGTTCAGGAGGCTAGAGAGCCTCCACTGGGTGTCTGAGCAAGGGGATGAGAATAAGGCCCAAGGGATCTGGCCCTGCAGCAGTCTATTTCCAGCTCAGGGCATCTTTCAGATTCCTGTCTTTCAGGTACCTGGCTTCTCCCTCCCCAAGCCAGCCTCTACTCCCAGTGGCTGCTTTCTCCTCCAGGGCCCTTAGTCCTGGTGACTTCCCTAGGAGGCAGAGGAGACTCAGAGCTGGTTGCAGGGCAGTGGCATGTGTCCCTGGAAGTGTTGCTTAGTGTCCAGTTCTCCTGAATACATTCAAACTCATCAGAGGTAACCTCATCCTGAGATCTCTACATTCCAGCATCAGCTAATGCCCCAAGCTTGGAGAAGGGAGCCCCAAAGATTCATAGAGTGCCATAGCTGGCGGTGTTTCAGGACACAGTTACTCTAAACCCCTCCTTTTACACGTAGGGACACAGAGGCTCAGAGAGAGCAAGTGGTCTCCCTGGGTGACCCAGCTGGTTAGTAGGATGTTTAGACTGCAATGGGAGGTTGAGGTATTCATATTCTCTATCCTCCCTTCTTCCACCCTGACTCTCCTTCCTGCCCATCTCCCTTGCCCCAGTGCTGAAGGGTGTCCCCCTAAAATGAGCTGACCAAACAGGCTCTGCCTGTGGGCCTTGGCAGAGAAAGTGAGGTAGGGGCTCCGGCTGGCTTCAGGCATTGCAGCTATCTTTCTGGTCTTGGCACAGACCCCAGAGGAGGAAAGAGCTAAGGTGCACTGACGGTCTTATTGGGGGTGGTGGCTGATCAGGGATCTGCTTGCTGGGGACTCTAGGCATGATGTTGGGGCCTGCTTGCCAAATGAATTATTGGTGAGGGATCGGGGTTGGAAGGGCCTGCTTGCAACCCATCTACTGGTTCAAGGTTAGGGGTGTGCTGCTTGCTGATGTACCCTGACTACAGGGTTTGGGAAAGAGAGGTTCAGAGGTCTTTCAAGGTGAATCTTCCATCAGAATAGGGGCCCTGCTTGCTGTGAGACCCTTGGTGCAGGGTTGAGGGGTGAGGGCCCTGCTTGCGGATGCATCCTTGGTTGAAAAGTGGGGGCCTGCTTGTGGGAAGGACCCTCCTGGGGGGAGGCTTGGAATGGGGCCTGCCTGCAACAGCCCTAGGGCTGCTCTCCGACCATGTGCTTTTCCGCCCCCAGGAGGACGAGCAAGGGGATGAGAATAAGGCCCGAGGGAACTGGTCCAGCAAACTGGACTTCATCCTGTCCATGGTGGGGTATGCAGTGGGGCTGGGCAATGTCTGGAGGTTTCCCTACCTGGCCTTCCAGAACGGGGGAGGTATGGCTTTTCTGCTCTTTGCGCCTGTGTCGAGGTGGGAGGGCTCTAGAGGGTTGGGGGGGACTCGGAGGCTGGGAGGTGGCAGGGCTGGGGAGGAGAGGCTCCAGGTAGCCCCCTCACACTCCAGCCCCAATTCCCTGTAGGTGTCAGTAATCTGTATGATCAGAGGTACTAAATTCTTCGATCATGGGATGCAGGGAAGGGGTGGGGCCTGGTGATTCTCCACGGACCTAGTATGAGTGGGGTGGGGGTGGGGGCGAGGGGAGCAGAGGAAGAGGTGTTCAAACTGGACTTTAGCCAACAAGTACTCAGGAAACAACTGCCCTCTGAGCTCTTAAACGAATTTGGTGGCGGTAACTGCGCATTCCTGGAGCCCCCAATTAGGGGTGTTTTCAGATACTAACCTGGAGACCCGTGGTGTGGTGTTGGAACACGAGGTTCAGGCCGAGCAGAGCGCAGAAAGCCCGAGATGGGGGCTGCAAACTGGAAGCAGCTGAGGAGGTCCTTGTGGGGAGTCCAGGGGTGGATGCGAAACCTCCCAAGAGCCCTCAGAGATCCACGGTTTGGGGCTCAACGGAGGACATAGTTTAACTTCTGCAAAATTGTTGAGCATAAACGGTTTTCGTTTCGTGCATTCTAACTGGGTGCACGAACCCGTTTAGGAAGGAAAGTGGTTCAGAGATGCTGAAGGTGCACACCCTCCTGCCAGGCCTTTCAGATCTCGACTGCCAGCGTGGTTCCCTTTGTCCTTCTTCTGTACCCGCTGAGGAGAGGAGGGACCCCACACATCCGGGATCCCCTTTGCTTGCCCTCCTCGGGCAGCTCCTCTTTTTTTTTTAAAAAAAAAAAAAATCTAAAAACAAGCAAAGCTGCTCTCTGGGAATAGGTGCCTAGAGACCCCCCTACAGCTTCTCCATTAAGCCAAAGGGACAGGGCCAGCTGTTCTTGTTGGCCTCCTGTGTCTGTCTCCGGAGGAGCCTGCTGCACAGGGCTCAACAAGCAGGTGCCTCCCCCGCATGACAACGGAAAACCGGTGAGATCGTGCCCCTCCCCAGTTCCAAATTAGCATTCACGTGCAAGTCCTTTAGGAGAACCATAGAACAGCGTCTGCAACCAGGGGTCGCCTGGAACGCTGGGGCGGGGAGGTGTGCTGGCCACGCGCCTCTAGGTGACCCCGATGAAGGCTTCGGCGGGGTTTCCGCTGGGAGCTCCCCCAGACGGAGTGCGGGAAGTGGACAGGAGGAGCTAGCTTTGGGGCCCAGAGAGGGCAGCTCCTTGCTAGCTCGGTATTCCCCCGGAGGGCGGCTCCCGCGAAGAGTAGGAGCCAGGAAGGGCGTTTGGCGGGAGAAAGTCTTCCTGGGGGCTGGCGGGGAGCTGCCGAGTGTGGGGTTCCCCCAGGCGGGGCGGCGCAGCCAGGCGCGGAGAGAGGGGCGGCCACTGGTTTCCGCACTGCGGCTCTGGGTCCGCAGCCCGCATCGCGGGGCGGAGAGCTCGCCGCCTCCTCCCCAGGATCACGAGAGAAACGTTGCACAATCCACGTCTGTCCTGCGGAATCTCAAAAGCCCTGTCAGGAGAAGGAAAAGCAGCTTTTACTTCTTGGAGGACCGCCTGGTCGGTCAAGGTCCCTAGGCAGCGGGAAGTTGAGAGAACAGTGAACTTGGGTCAAGACCAGGAAGACAAGATTTGAGCTCAGGCTTCTCTCCTCCCTAAACTGGCTCAGATCGCTTCCTACCCTCGCTGGTTACAAGAGCCTCACGCCTTCTCAACCACCCTCCAAGAAGCCCGGAGGGAGAGAACTCCAGAGAACCCTCAGCAAACCTGTGGTGGCCACCCAGCTGCTATTGCCATGGCTGGGCATGGGAGGAGCCGGGGTAGAGAGATGAAGGATGAACTAACCTTGACTTCAGAGTAGATAGGCTTCCACACCCATAAGTTGTCAGTGCCTCCAGAGGTGCCTATGAGTACTGTGGGAGGACAGAAGAGCCTCTACTTGGAGGGGGAAGGATTTGAGTTGACCTCCAAGGGTGGGAGGGAAGTTGAATGTGGAGGTTGTGGCCTGAGAAGGATGAGTAGTGGGGTGGGGAGGGAGCTGTCTTGTCCAGCAGGCCCAACCTGGTTGGCCGGATGTGTGCAGGTCACTCAGGTGACCTTGGTGGAGGGTTCTGGAGTGCAGCGTGGCCGGTTTTAGGTCTTCTGATGGCCCAGTGAGTCAAAGACTTTGGGTTATTGAATCTTGAAAGTTTGAGGAATTGAAGTGCTATGTTAATAGAATAAAAATGATCAACCACCCCAAAGACCCTAAAACCCAACCCGCCAGTACACAAACTCTAGGAAAGGCGGGAACCGGAAACAAGGACTGTGCTTGCATACTTTTCCGTAATCGTTGGAGGAGGGCTCTTCAGTGTTGAGCAGGGGTGTCAAAGAGTTCTTCAGAACAGGAGTGTATTCTTCCCTGCACATCATTGGGAAGGAGCCCAGCCCCCAGCCCAGAGGACTGGGCCCAAGGTGGGCCAGAGCTCTGCCTTCATCTCCCCGGAATCTCACTTGCCACTCTCTTTTTCCAAGGCGCTTTCCTCATCCCCTACCTGATGATGCTGGCTCTGGCTGGACTGCCCATCTTCTTCCTAGAGGTGTCACTGGGCCAGTTTGCCAGCCAGGGGCCGGTGTCTGTGTGGAAGGCCATCCCAGCTCTACAAGGTGAGTCCCCTCTGCCTCTCAGCTCCCCTAGGCCTTGCCTTGCTCTCTCTCTCTCTCTCTGTGGCCACTCAGCCCTGCCCCAGGGAGGGAGGCCTGGTGTGACCAACAGAACTCACTTCTTCTTTTCTTTGACTCCATGCTACTTCCTCCCCCCAGCATGACCCAGGACCCCCCTTTGTCTTGCTCAATCCCTAGCTGAATATGTCAGTCTCCAGCGCTAGACCTAGAGTTCTGTTCCACTCTAAGCTGGATCTAATTGCAAACGAGAGTCAAGGCTCCGCCTCCCATGCCCCTTTGCCCAACTCTAAGAATGCCAGAGAACTTGGGGCGGAATGAGACCTTGAACTCTTTGCTTCCACAGGCTGTGGCATCGCCATGCTGATCATCTCCGTCCTGATAGCCATATACTACAATGTGATTATTTGCTACACACTTTTCTACCTGTTTGCCTCCTTTGTGTCTGTGCTGCCCTGGGGCTCCTGTAACAATCCCTGGAACACACCGGAATGCAAGGATAAAACCAAACTGTTACTAGGTAAGTTTGGAGCGACCTGCTGTAGTAGCGTGTTTGTTGTCTGTCGTTCTTTCCTTGACCATTGGTGAATTGAACACATGGTGTGCATTCCAGACTCTACAATGTGACCTGTGGGCAAGGGGTTAAAATAACCAAATACTTAGTTCTAATATTGAATGAGCTCCTGGCCTAGACCAGGTAAGCATTTGGAATGTTTGGCATAGTAGTGCTTATATGTTGAGCTGTTAACTAGAAGGTCAGCAGTTCAAAACTACCTGGTCTCTCTACAGGAGAACTCAGTGCCATTGAATGGATGCCGACTCATAGCAACCCTATAGGACCTGTAGAACTGCCCCTGTGGGCTTCTGAGACTGTAACTCTTTACGGGAGTAGAAAGCTGCATCTCTCTCCTGAGGAGTGGCCGACCTTTTGGTTAGCAGCCCAATGCATAACCACTATGCCACCAGAACTCATGGGAGAGGCTTTCTACTCCTATAAAGATACACTGCTTCAGAAACCCTCAGGAACCCTGTCAATAGGGTTGCTATGAGTCAGATTCGACTCAATGGCAGTGAGTGAGTTTTGTTAAACCTGTAGACTCATAGACCCACCTACTAGTCTGATGTCTTAGATCTGATGTCTTAGGAAATGTCACTTTAATAAGACCCGCAAGCATTGTCCTACTCAAAGGGTGTTCTTCAAAGCGACTGTACCACCTGGACGCTGGTTAGAAATGCAGCAACTGTCTCCCAACCTTCCCGAGTGAGACTGCATTTGTCAAGGTGCCTTGGGTCCTGGTGCCCCTGAAAAGCAGTGATCTGGGTCTTAGACCAAGTCTGCCTTCGGAGCCAGGGAGCATTCCTGAGAAACCATTTCAGATTTGAAACCCATTGGTTCTTCAGTGCCTGGGAGTGGTGGTGAGAGCCTGTCAACTTGCTAACCTATGGAGGACAGGTACGTCGGAAAGGCTTTCCCGTCCACACAGCATTTCTGGGTGGATTAGCTGTGCATGTGCGGTGTCTGCATCTTGTAACTTCCCTCTGGATCTCCAGTTTGCTCGCCTGGGAAAGAGAAACGAAAGTACGATCTTTTACCTAATCTACCACGCAGAGCTGCTGTAAGGACAAGATGAAACAAGGGCTGTGATAGCAGTTGGAAAAGTCTAAAACTGCGCAAAAGGAACAGGTGCATAAAGAGCCTGAGGGGACAGTGGTTAAGGGCTGAACTGCTAATCCAAAGGTTGGTGGATTGAACCCACCCGCTGTTCCGAAGGAGAAAGATGCGGCAGGCTGCTTTCACAAAGGTGACCGTCTTGAAAATCCTAGGGGCAGGTCTGTTCAGTCTTCCCGGGTCACTATGAGTTGGAATTGGCTCCGTGGCAGTGGATTTGGCTTGGTTTAGTAATAGTCATCTTTGGAGGGCCTGGTCATTTTCTTTTCCCAGGAGTTTTATTGAGATAAAATTCACATTGCACACACCGGGGAAGTTCAGTCGCATTTAAAAGGAGTTGTGTACACATCTCCATGATCAGTTCTAGTGCACCTTCCCTCCACCCCGTATTCATTATTTCATCTCCAGTTCCCCTCAACCTCCCCTCCGTATTCCCAATAAGCGATCACATCAATTACTACCTCTATACATCCTTCCCTTTTGTGCTTCATAAACTGGGGAACACACCAAAAAGAAAAGAAAGAAAGAGAACATGTATACATTTTTTTAAAATTAAAGAAAAAGAAAGAAAAGACTTCCATCAATATTAAAATAAGCCAGAGAGAAAACCTCTGTTGAGAAATATTCAAACCTAGAACAATTCCAGAATGGGCTAAAAGGGAGATCAACTGACCAGGTATCATGTCATGTTCTACCGTAGTTCCATCCATCACAATCAAGTTTGAAATAATCTCTGTCTGATAGTAAAGCTATCCTCACCCCTCAACTGTGACCAGCAGGGATCTGCCAGAGGCTTCATCTGAGTAGGGAGTCTGCAGATGGATTTTGGGCTCCTACTCCATAGCCTTCTACAAACTGGGTGTTCACAATCACGATCTGATACATTTCCCTGCACCGTATTTGGACTTTGTTCTTTGGATCACACAGGCTGGTGTGCTTCTTCCATGTGGACGTAGTTGAAACTTTACTGACCTAGCCTGGTCATTTTTATGGGAACTTATAAGCAGGTAGTTTCTGCTTTCTCCAGAGATCTGTTCCTGCTTTTAAGCTGGGCCCATGCTGAGGGCCGCCTTCGTGATTATCAGTTAGTGCTGGCCCCGAAAGCCAGCCCATTCCCCCTGGAAGCTGCAGAGTTAGAGCATTAGTTGACTCTGAGTATGCTAAGAGAGAAAGGTGAATTCTTCCCCCTCAGACCTCTCAGGATACTCATGTAACTAGAGACTGTAACTCACACGTGATATTTTTATGCACACTCATCTGCAATCCCTTCCAGCCTCCACCTAGAGATGCTTTTTTTTTAAGAGTCAGATCTTTATTTTTTTGCTTGACTCTTACTTTTTAAAAAAACTTTTATTATGAATTGGGTGGAGGTTCACAAAGCAGAACATCAGTTTTTCACTCAACAATTCATACGCATTTTGTTGCATATCGTTGATTGCCTTCCCCTCATGAATCCACCCCATACCCAGCCCATGTGCCCTCTTCCATTCTTCCTTCTTCCCTAACCATTCTGCACTTTGTCCCGGGGTCAGTGATGTCCTTTTGGTCTCAAATGGTCGACCATTCTAAGATATGTGTGTCTTTCTGGTGTCATTGTCCCCCTTTAAACCCAGGAGCCCTGGTGGCGCTGTCAGGTGAACTCCAAGGCACAAGGCTGGTCCACACCCACCTCTCCGGAGAAGGCTGAGCCTGCCTGCTGCTGTAGATTCCCAAACCTTGGAAACGCTCCTCGGGTTCCCATGAGTCAGCAGTGACTTGTGTCACAGCCCTGCAGGTTCCCCTGAAGAAGTTCTGAATAAGGCTGAAAGAGAAAACAAACGATTGACCCTGGTCCATTCAATTCAGGTGTCAGGCACCTGGAAAAGCTCAGGAATGCAGATGGGGGGAGTCTGCTAGGGTCCCCAGGGGTGTGTGTGGTTAATGAAGGGTCTAACTAAGAATAAGGGTCCCTTAGCCTTGGTGATTTGGGTGATTTCTTAGGGCAGAGCATGGATTCTCCGCCATGGCTACTGCACTTTGGGAACACCTGAGGGAATAGCAAATCAAAGTATCACTTAGGCCCCTGGCTGGCCTTCTGAGAACCTAGACATATGTTTTTTCAGGTTCGTCAGGTGGGACCACAGGTGGGACCACGGGTGAGGACCACTGGGCTGGACTTTGTCCACATCCTTTAATGAGGCTGCCCTCACCATCCTTGGAGTGGAGTGCCCTAGCTGTTAATATTGTTTGCTTTGCATTCCCTATGGGGCAAGGTGGTCAGCTCCGCAGGGCTGCTGCCAAGAGGAACTCCACGCAGCAGCTGCCCACAGATTCATAGTCTGCTGCCGGAGTGGCTTCCTGAAGGGGCTTCCTGTTGTAGGCAAAGCACATTTCCAAAGTGTGGGGTCTGGATTAGAGAACTATGTCAAGATCATAGGTCATCCTAGAGCCCTTCTTGTCCTTTCCAGATGGTACTTTGGTGGGAGGTCACTTTCCAAGGGAATACCTGCTAGAATCGGGCTATTACCTTGATTAGACCCCATGTGACACTTGCCTTAAGGACTACTTGCGCCATGGCAGTCAGTGGCCCTGCAGATGTCCCTGCCAGGCAGAAATGCCATCCTCACCTACTCACAATTTATTGTGCAGCACCTTGTTGTTGGATGCTGGCTCCCAAAACAAACAAACAAACAAACAAACCAAAGTCATTGTCATTGAGTTACTACCAACTCACTGTAACGCTATAGGACATAGGAGAACTGCTCTTGTGAGTTTCTAAGACTGTAACTGTTTATAGGAGTAGAAAGCCTTGTCTTTCTCTTTCGGAGTGGCTAGTGGTTTTGAACTGCTGACCTTGCAGCTTGCAGCCCAATGCATAACCACTATATCACCAAGGCTCCTGGGTGCTATCTGGTTCCAACTCATAGAGTGCCTATATACCACAGAACGGCATGCTCCCGGTCCTGCTGAATCCGCACAGTTGTCGTCGTTGGTCCCATTTCTGCAGCCGCTGTGTCCAGCCATCACCTTGAGGGGCTGCCTCCTTTGCACTGCCTTTCTTCTCTCCTTCGTCTGATGTCCTTTTCCAGGAACTGATCTCTCCTGATGACATGTCCAAAGCACGGGAGATAAAATCTCGCTTCTAAGTGCTCCCTTCGAGGGAGCGCTCTGGGTGTACTTCTTCCATGCCAGATCTGTTCATTCTTTTGGCAGATAATGGTACTTTCAATATTCTTCGCCAGCACCATAATTCAAAGTGCACCAATTCTTCAGTTTTCCTTATTCAATGTCTAACTTTCATATGCACATGAAATGACTGAAAATACCCTGGCTTGAGGCAGGCATCCCTGAGGCCTCAAAGTGACATTCATGCTCTTCAACACTCGACAGAGATCTTGTGCAGCAGATTTACCCAATGCAGTGTGTTCATTGTTTAATCTCTTAACTGCTGCTTCCACGAGCATTGCTAGTGGATCCAAGCAAGATAAAACCCTTGACAACTTCATACTTTTCTCCATTGATCATGATGTTACCTATTGGTCCAGCACTATGGATGCCAACTCAAAACACTTGACACCATCTAGTTGATGCCCACTCATAGAGACTCTACCGGACAGAGTAGAGTTTCTCCTATGAGTTTCCAAGATTGTAACTGTTGACAAGAGCAGGAACCCTGTCTTTTTCCCTCAGAGTCGTTGGTGATTTTAAACAGCGCACCTTGTGGATTGCAGCCCAACAAGGTGTAATCACTACACCAACAGGGCTCTGCTATATTCCAAGTACTGTGTTAATCCCTTTTATACATGTTACCAGTGTGAAGACACGTAAGAAGCTTGCATGTGGGTTCTGTAATTACCTCCATTTTCCATTGT